CAATTCAAGCGTGTATGTATGTGTGTATATATGGTAAGATATAGGATTTATTTATCCAGCTTGTTCATATGTTTAAGAATTTCATATTTTAAATGGTTGGTATAACAAAAACAAATTTTTTTTACTATTAGTGGTACAGGTATAAATTCAGTTTAAGCTGATTCTGAGGTTTCTTGGGTTATTGGATAGTAATTCAGTAAAGCAGTGCGTCTCAATTAATTTTGATTATAAAAATTGTGGTCTTTGAAATAAATAAAAAATATACCATACAATAAAAACATATTTCAAATGTCTGACAAAAAATAATTTATTATTTTTTCAACAAAATTTTATTACCAAGGATTTTTAATATTTATATTGACCAATACATATCGGTATTTTGAATAAAAAATTTAAATAATTTCAACCAATTAAATAAATTTTTTTATAGTCAGAAGAAAACATTATAAGGAATTTAAAAAAGTCGTCAAAAACAAAATCAATATAAAAACACACATCTCAACATTTTTTATATGCTTCCCTTTCGTATAAAATTTGTGTAAAATACGTCAAATTAGCTTCTATAAGCAGCCAATGCACATGCAGCTAGTCCTTCTATGCGAAAAACACGAGTTTTTCTAGACATGTTTTTGAAAAACGAAAATCAAAAACTCGCACAACCTGCCAAAGCCAGCTGGCAATATTCCAAGAAGTAAAATTTCGCGTTTCTTAATTGAGAGCAAACAATAAACGCGCCACCCGCTCGATTGGCTGACAAACAAAAGGCATATAACATATAACCATATGAGCACTACTCTTTGCGATTGAAGATCGCTTTATGGCTCTCATTACGCGCGCCGCTGTTCTAATTTATTAATACTTCAAAAGAAAAAGGAAAAAAAAGAGAAAACGCACACGCCAAAGCATTGGACTTCAATTACCAGCATCGAGCAATTTGGTCATACCGAAGATCATCTGCTTAATGAAAGCCAATAGCCGAAGAATTTCGAAACTTTCGCAAGACTGCATTTCGCCAATCGTACGATAATGGCACAAACATGCATACATTAATTAAATATTAACGTGTATTCGTTTTGGGGTTGACAATTACTTTATAATGACGAAAGCACTCATTTTCGTCGAATTTTCAAAGGCGTTCACGATATTACCCGAAAATACTGCGTACTCGTTAATGGACGCATATTACAAATACAAACACACACAGACTCGTACACATATGCATGTGTACTTAGTGTACTCATGTTGATATAGTATATATTGTCAAGACATTTTCTCGCCTCTGCGCTTCAGCGAGAATGAACATAATAAGTAGATGATTATTTTAAAAAAATATAAAGCATCAGTTAGGTTCGTTGTGATCTTTACTTTTCAGTTGCCAATCGATCTTATACATAGAAACATCCTTCGGACAAAAGTGTTCCGCAAAGAAAATTCTCAAATGTTTTACCGTTGCGCTAAAGCTATACTATATATACATACATAATATATAACAATAATAATACTATATAACTGTAAATTTTAGTACGGTGAATTTAAAAGGTTCTTTCGGTTAATATTAGATGTTCTTCCGTTGGCGGAAGACGCGCGTGTGTTAAAAACGCAAACTGAAAAAAAATAATAGAAAATAAAAATAAAAAAGTTGCGAATTACACACATACATACATACTATATATGTACATGCTTGTGTGCACGAAGTGAGCAATAAAGAACAACACATAAGAAACTTTTAACTTGTCGTTAGTCCTTGCCGTATTTTCTTGGTGCATTACACTGCGTTTGTGCTGTGACGTATAACGGTCGTCGCGATCGTCCGTCACATTGAGCTTTGTCGCGTATACTCGTGCGTACGCATTCGTGATTATTGTGCGCGTGCTATTGCACATAGTACCATTATACCTATATAGTGCTTGTCGTATGTGAACTTTTTCACGGGCGAAACACGCATATTTTTTCACTAGTTAGAGACGTGACGCATGAAGGTTGCCGAAGATGTCATTACACCAAAACTTTTCATTTTGCTCGATTGGTTCATTCGTTTCAATTGTACGTAAATATAAAAGAAATTTATTGGTTAAATTAAATATATGGACATGTGTACATAATAAAAACAGCAGTCTGAAAAGTAAAGAAACACCGAGGAAAACAAAATTAAAAACGAAACATTTATACATAAATTTATATATGAACGTACATATTTGTACAGGTGAATTTAGTACGAAAATAAATTGTCGAAAGTCTAAATGGCGTATTGCGATAGCATTTAGGGTCTTGAACGCCAGGGTACTTGAACTTGTGCAAGGTTTTGAACAAGAAAACATGCTAAATTAAATACGTACCAATCGTAATGTATTTTAATACAAATATATAAAATAAAATGCAATTCAAATAAACATTTTGATGTAAATATTTGATCATAAATTAAATATAAATTAAATTATTGAAAACAAAATGATAAATATTAAAGTTAATATTAAGAGTGAAAGTAAATACAAAAACCATAAAAAAAAATTTAAAAATAATAAAAATATTAATATTATCAACAATAATCATAGTAAAAATTAGAAAAAGTTTAATAATATTAAAAGCTATAAAATAATAACATTACATATATGGCACTTTCATTCAACTAGTCTAAAGTTAAGTTTTCTAAACGGCTTCTGAGTTTTCATTTGCCGAAGGATAATGACCGCAAAAAAATAGTTTGGCTTCAAGACTGCTCACAAAATCTACGATTAACGAATTAAAAAAAATTAAAGAAAATTAAAAAAACTTAAATTAAATTAAAAATGTGACTATATAAAATTCAGTTAAAAAAATATATATTTATAAATATGAAATGAAATAATAAAAAAATTAATTAACTAATCCGTAAATTAAAAATAAAACTAGGAATTAAAATTTATGTTTATCAAAAACACAAATCATATGAAATGATATTTATAATTACATAAATTAAATGTTTCAATTAATTAAAGAATAATTGTTTTATAATTACTTTAAAATGTAGCTATTTTATAAATATATTTTTTTATTAAATTTCACAATTTGGTGAATCGAAAAATTTAGAAAAAAATATAGGAAAAAACTAAAGAAAATTAGTTAAAAAATTAATTACATAAAAAATAAATCAAAATAATTTAAAAAAAATAAGTAACCTGCATAATTCATGTAAAATCGGGTATTTATATTAATTATTACAAAAAAAATGTATGTATCAAAAAAAGAATTTAGTATTATATAAACTAATTATTTTAATTAATGGAATATTAAAAAAACTGAGAAATATTTTAAAATATAATATATATAAATTATTTTCATAAATATATTTTTTTATAAATAAATTCATAATTTGGTAAAACTATTAAATAAAATATATAAAAATTCAAATAAGATAATCAAAAAAATTAAAGAAATTGTCTCATTTTTTAGATTAAAATTAAATGATAATTAAAATTTAAAAAATTAAAATTAAATCAGGAATTTAAATTTAAAAAAATTAAAATATACATAATTAGATTGTATAATAAATAAAATAAAATTATATAAAAATTAATTGCTTAAACAGAAAAATTTTAAAAAATCAGGAATTAAAATTAAACATTAGCAAAGAAATAGATTATACACATATATATTTTTATGAATAATTTGCTTAAGTGAAAAATATATAATACCTATATACTATTTTATTATTCGACTAACTTAAATCGACAGCTACCACAGTTCACAAATTTAAACAGAAAGCGTTTGCCGCTTAGAATTTATTGCGAAATATTAAATTTCAAATGAATAAATTTGAAAAATTACATAACATCTTTTTTTTATAAAAATGAGCTTGAAATTTTTTATAATAATTTTATATTTCACACATATATAAATTTTTGTGGATAACCATTTTGTATACACGTATTATATATTTAATGAGCGAAAACTGAAAACGCCGCAAAAATTCCTACTGCTGTTTAACTCTTAATTTTATTGGTAATTTATTATCAACATAAAACAAAATTAGGTGTTAAATTAAAGTAAGAGACTAAATTTAACTTTTTATATTATATAACGAAGAATTTATATATTTTTAATTTTATTCTCACTCCTACAATATTGTCTGCTATAATACATCCGATTGGTAAATAAAATAATTTCTAAATATTTTTCCTTAAAAAAAAAATTAAATAACACCCAACAAATGTCTGCAAGAATTTTAGCTAAAGATCACAACGCGACATTTTTAAAGAAATTTGCAGTTAACATTTAAACATATAAGAAAAAAACATGTGTATAAAAGTAGAAAAGCCAAACTAAGCGTATGACAGCATTTTTCAATGACAGAAGCAAATACCTTAAATGGTAAATAAAGATATAAAATAAAATATGACAATATTATATGAAATTTTGAAACTTTTTTGCGTCACTCCGAAATAAATATGCTAGAGGACTTTCAATTAGTTTGCATTTGGGTGAAAATGTTTAAAATTTGCGTTAATTATTATTTTTGTTATATTTTACTTTATTTCTTGCGACACAATACAAGTCGTTTCATAGAAGAAAGATTGGCAGTCGCGCCAGTATGCAAATCGAGCGGTTAATTAATTTTATTACGTCAGCAAAAGGAGCAAAAAATAATGAATTTTAGCAAAAATGTTGTTTCAAATAAAGAAGCTGTAGAAAAGCTAAGCTAACGCTTTGATTTAAAAGCGGTCTAGCGCGCCGCCAGTGGTGTACTAGCGGTCAAGTGATACTCATGAGCATAGCCCACCATGCAAAGGGTTCAACTGCTGGAATTTTTAAATGTTTGTCAGTGAAACGCCTGAACAATTGCGCTCAAACACGGTTGCATTTGCTATTTTACGTTATTTCATGCATACTCGATTTTTCAGTTTTTTTTTTTATTGTATTTAACCTAGTTTTAATTATGTTTTAAATGTTTATTTACTTATATTTAAGTGTTATACGAATAAATAAAAAATTTTAATAAATTTACTCTCGCTTTTTATTTGCAGCCAAAAGCTGGTTTTGAGCCAGACACAGCATCACTCAGAGAGAAAGTCATTTTAAATCCGGGCGAAAAATGGCGCATTTTGAAAAATATCACCATCATATCATTTGCATTCATGGTACAATTCACAGCGTTTCAGGTAAGGCCAGCAAAATGTCATATGAATACCCTATAAACATACACAAAAACCCAACAAAAAAACCAGCTGTGTGTGTGCGTAGGTATGTGTGCATGCGCACCTGTAGTCCAATATATTGCAAAGCAGCGCATTGATTCGTTTCATAGTTGAAAAACAAAAAAGAAATTAAATATAAAGAAATAGTATATACAAGCGCCAATGATTACCATACGCACGCACTGCTCAACACTGGTGCATACGTACAAGTTAAAAAAAAAATACATACATATGCGCACATGCTTATACTATTAAAACTCACTTTCTCTTTATTTTCTTACACCATACATACATACATTCACTACATATTTATGCATCTTTTCTTTTTCATTCCTTTTTCATTAACTTTACATATGCTTGTCTTGTTTCCGTCAACCAGGGCACGGCCAATTTACAGTCCTCGATTAATGCCAAAGATGGCTTAGGCACTGTGTCGTTGAGCGCAATTTACGCGGCGCTCGTCGTCTCATGCATCTTCCTACCCACACTTATTATACGCAAATTGACTGTGAAATGGACGCTGGTCTTCAGTATGCTGTGCTATGCGCCGTACATTGCCTTCCAATTGTTCCCAAAGTAAGTGGTTTATGATTAGTTTGATAGAGTGTCGAAGAGAGAATGCAGGGAATATTTGCAACGGTACTAAAAACCGTTTTTTTACGATTGTTTATAAATCAGCTGGTTTGCTGACGTTACATTAGCGTATTTTAATGGTAGCATGCTATACAACGGTACATTATTGACTTGAAAGAGCATTTGACATTTTTACACTAAAACTGTTTCGATGGTTAAATAAATCGCAAAACTGACGTCACAAAATATCATTTCAAGTATTTATTTTTATTCGATGCAATCTCCAGCACTCTTTCTGTGTTTACCGTAATATTTTTAATGCTAATTAAATTCGCTTGTACTCTATTAATTTGCTTAGATTCTACACATTGGTTCCTGCTGGTATTCTAGTCGGTTTGGGTGCCGCTCCTATGTGGGCATCTAAGGCCACCTATTTGACACAGGTCGGTCAAGTTTATGCGAAAATAACCGAACAAGCTGTGGATGCGATAATTGTGCGGTTCTTCGGCTTCTTCTTCTTGGCCTGGCAAACGGCCGAGCTGTGGGGAAATCTGATCTCTAGTTTGGGTAAGTAGATAATTGTTTTTCCACAAAACTATATACATATATACATACATATGTATATCAAAAGTTTTAACTAAAGACCGTTGTTATAATTCAAAAGTAATATTTTCTCGACATTAACGAATAATTTGAACTATTGCACAACTCGTTACTTAAATTATTTCTTATTCCTTCGATTACAGTGCTTTCGAGCGGCGCTCATGGAAGTGGCGGCGATGCCAACACAACCATCTCCGAAGAGGATCTGCAATACTGCGGTGCCAACTTCTGTGTGCAAGTATCCAATGGACATGGCAACTTGAACCGCCCACCAGATCATGAAATCTTCGAAATCACCATGATCTACTTGTCTTGTATTGTTGCTGCTGTTGCCATTATTGCTATCTTCTTGGATCCACTAAAACGTTATGGTGAGAAACGTAAGGGCTCACAGTCTGCACAAGAATTATCCGGCATGGAATTACTATCGGCCACTTTCCGTCAAATGAAGAAGCCAAATCAACAGCTGCTCATTCCCATCACCGTTTTCATTGGCATGGAACAGGCTTTCATTGGTGCCGATTTCACACAAGCTTATGTGTCTTGCGCTTTGGGTATCCATCAAATTGGTTTCGTGATGATCTGTTTCGGCGTGGTCAATGCGATTTGCTCGATTCTCTTCGGTTCGGTGATGAAATATATTGGACGTCTGCCCATTATTATACTCGGCGCTATCGTGCATTTCACACTTATCTCCGTGGAATTGTTCTGGCGTCCCAGCCCCGAAAATCCGCTCATCTTCTACGCTATGTCTGGTTTGTGGGGTGTCGGCGATGCTGTATGGCAAACACAAATTAACGGTCTATACGGTCTACTCTTCCGTCGCAACAAGGAAGCGGCCTTCTCCAACTACCGTCTCTGGGAGTCAGCCGGTTTTGTTATCGCCTATGCATATGCTACAACATTGTGTGCGCGCATGAAGCTTTATGTGCTTATGGCCGTGTTGGCTTTGGGATGCATTGGCTATACTATTGTAGAGATTCTGTACAGAAGAAAGGTAAGTGCCGATGAACTTTGTAAGCGCAAAAGTTTTAATAATAATTATTATTTTTTTTCTTTTTTCAGCAACGCAAGCTAAAGAAACAAGAGAAATTGGAGGCTGCCGCCAAGGAGAAGGAAGCCGCTGCAGCAGCAGCCGCCGCCGAGGCTAATGCCACCGCTGAAGTGGAGGAGACCGACGATGAGCTGGATGATCTCGAAGAGGATATTGTTGTGACGCATTTCTAAGTCCAACTCCGCATACATACACACACATACACACATACTCATACATTCACGCATCTGCAAAACAAATACGCCTTCCATAAAGTAATGCAACCTAGCATGTATGTATGTAAAATACATATATGTATGTATGTATGCATGTGAAAGTTTGAATCGGTGTTGACTGTAGAAGCTCCTTGCTGAAAGCTTAAGAGCACCACAAGTCACACACACACACACATTTATACAGACACTCAAACGATGAAAGCTTTTGTTTTTGTTTGTTAATCTCGTATGAGAGCTTTTAAGTGTTGGCGTGTAAGCGTGTTTGATAACTTTTTTGTTTCTTTATTTAGACTACAAGAAAAGCTCTTTTATAAAAGGGCGTATATGTACGTAACACAAAAATGCGCATAAGTCAAAAATTCATTTTTAAGCTACGAAAGTGATTTTTTGCATGAACGCACGCGTTTCGAGCAATTTTACCCTCCCCCAGTTGTTACTTTGTTGTATTGTATACAATTTTGCATACAAAAAGACAGAAGTTTAAAGTAAATAGTAGCAGAAGTAATAACAGTTATGATTATTGAAAGTAATGTGTTATAAAGTTTAGTAGTTATTTAGTTCAATAAGTACAATAGAAACATTGCAAACACTTACACAAGCACATACACACACACACACAACGCGTTAACATAGAAAAAGTCCACTCAGATCATATAATAATAAGCTTACAAGAAAGTAAGTGCAATTTGTAAATAACTAAACCGAAAAGTAATCAACCGAAGACAGCACAGAAGAGCGGAGCAATCAGTAAGAACTGTAGAAAACGATAAAAGACGAAGAGAAATTGTTAAAGAAAAAAACTATTTAAAACCAAAACTGTACAAAAACAAAAGCTGCGCAGAATGAGAGATAGATTTTTGAAATTTTTTTCTTTCGGAGCATTATAAAAACAAAGGGCGGCTTCAGAATTAGTGCCCATCGCAAAGCAAAAGAAAAAAAATTATAAAATGTGAGGCTAATGGTGTGCTGTTTAGTGCCTTACAAGCTCACACACCAACGGCGCTTACAAAATAAATGAACAAAAACTAATTAAAAACACTGTAAACTATTAATAGACGTGCTTTCCAAAAGCCGTTCAATAATTGCAAAAATTAAATTTGCAAAAAAAATTTTGTGAAAAAATTTGCTTAAATAAGACAAACCGAAAATATTAATGTATACAAGCTATTGCCCGAAGTAGATGGCAAAAAGAAAATTATAATACACATACATATATATATACATACATATATACATAAAAATTAGTTTTAAGTAAACCGTTATGCTCGTAAGACCCCTCTAGTATAAAAGTATATAGGTATAAAATGTGAAATCAACGCTCAAAAACAAAAAATATTGCAATAAAAAGGAAAGCACAAATTACTAGACGTGCTATTTAAAGAAGAAAAGAAAATAATAATATGTAATAGTAGGCACGCATACATTTGTGAGTGAGCGCATAATTAACAAACATTTAAATTTATGTTGTTTTTATTTTAAATAAATTTAAATAATGTTTTTATGCGCACACAAATAATTTTTTTAATAATTTAATTCTTTTGCGTTTGCTTTTCATTACGTCTTTTGAGAAGCCGAATTGTAGTAGAAATAGTAACGTTAGCTTGTGCAACTCAAAAAATATTCCAGTTAATAAAAACTAAATTTAAAAAATTAGTTACAGTAAATAAAAAATTAAATATAATAATAAAAAAATTAGTTACACTAATTGAAAAATTATATACAATTTAAAAAAATTAATTACACTAATTGAAAAATTAAATGCAATAATTAAAAAATTAATTACACTATTTGAAAAATTAAATGCAATTTAATTACACTAATAGAAACATTAAATGCAGTAATTGAAAAATTAATTACAATAATTAAAAAATTAAATACCATGATTGAAAAATTAATTACACTAATTAAAAATAATAATTACACTAATTGAAAATTTAAATACAATGATTGAAAAATCAATTTTGATAGTTAAGAAATTAAGTACAATAATTAAAAAATTAAAACAGTGATTAAGAAAACTAAAATAAAATTTTTTTTTTATGTAAATTTTCTGTTAAAGCCCTAAAAATTACTTAATATGTATACAAATTGCTTGAAATAAAAGGCATATACTTGAAGAAAAGTTATTAAAAAATGGAAATATACGAGTATGATTCACAATGAGTAACATAAAATGTACTTATATATTTTGCTCAGTATTATAATGTTAATGTTTAAGTGATGCTTTTTTTGGAGAAAATAGCTTATACTTCACTATCACCCTATCTGTGTATTACTCATTATATTTCTTAACATGTATCTTTCGTGGAAAAGTTTAAAAACAAAAATTAATAAATATTCTTCTTCTTTTTTTATTTAATTTTGCTGTCTATATAAAGTTGAACATTTTACTGTTTTTACTACACTCAATCTCCGCTTCCTTTCACAGAACTTTCTCACTTTCATTTTCTTATATATTAAAATTAGACGACAAATAACCAAATTATTTTCTATTTCTTCACTAATTATTTAGTACGCTTTTTACGCTCATAAATACGTATGCATACTTGTTTTCCTTTTATTTTAACTGCATATGTATGTAATAACATAACCTGCATTTTTATTATAGTCCTTTAAGTAGTTTTATTGCAACCTTACACTTCCTTTCCTGTTCTGGTTCACCTTAACTATGTACATACCTGTGTATTATTTGAAGATAACTGAAATCCACATACGAGTACATACTTACAAGTTGTGGTTTTATTTTATATAGCTGCTACCTGCATACATATATAGCAATTATATACTTATAAGTATAAGACAATAAGCAAGAAAAAAAATTAATAACATTAAATGTGGACTTCATGTATAATCTATTATGTAATAAATGCAATATACTAAATATATTTATATTAAACAAAAAAATCATATCGTATTAAAAATTGTATGCGTATGTGTATTGTACGCATATGAAGATAAAATTTTTAAGTGTATGCATAGTTATGAAAGGGAAGCGAAGTGGTAAAAGCAATTGTATTGAATAAAGTTATATATATATATCTATATATATATATATACGAGTACATATATGTTAATAAATACACTATTGAAATATACAATTCGATAGCATAATTTGCAATCTGTAGTATAATGTTAACGTAATATTACAAAATGAATAAATAAATATAAATTTACGATGTAATAAATGAATATATTTTTGTTTTAGTTTAAATAAATTTTATTTGTATTTTTTATTTCCGACATTAAGTGCTAATCACAAGAAGGCGCGGATGAGAGTTGGATTAAATTAAAAACACGAAAAAATGCAAAGTTCGGCTTCAAATAAAAACGTTTCCATGCAAGAACTGAATTTTGATCGTTCAGTTTCTACGCCAGCTATATGCTATAGTGTTCCGATCAGAACAATTTGCCCGGAGATTGTAGCGTTGCCCAACACAATAGAATGCGCTAAATTTCATGAAGACAATTTCTAAAATAAAAAATTAATATATTTAATCAATATACCGTTATTGTTGTTGTAGCGAGTACCTGTTTGGAAGAAAGTGAAAAATCAACTGTCATCATGAAATCATTTAGCGGTAGATTCAGGAAAGAGACTGTTTCGTCGGGTCGGACCAAACGGAGAGCGTTGTTAAGTGAATGAGTTTGGCGGGGCATGAAAAAAAGGGGTTACTGCCATGCGGGGACTTTGTATGCAGATCATAAGTTTTGTATGTGAGGATCTACCATATTTTAGATAAGTAGGAGTTTAACCAGTACGAAGTTGCGAATAGTTCCTCTGATTTCACGTGACAACTCGAACTCACGATCTTTGATGAGTGGAGTTTAGAGTCCTTAATAGCTTCACTGTGAATGGCGTTCAGTACACATCTGAAGTTGGACGCGTCCGAAACTGCTTCGGTATATTTTTGAAATTCATCGACGTATGGTAACAGCTTGGAGAGGAGTATGCTCGTTAACCGGAAGACTGCGGATTTCGCTTTGGCGGTGTTCCACAGGGGGCAGCAAGAGTCATTCTGTGCTAGTACGGAGTGCACTGTTCTGACGTGTCTGTATCTTCTTCAGCTACGTCCTGCTGCATTCAGGCAACAACTTGGGAATGCGTAATTAATGGCCGATTGTCTTGTAATTGACCTGCAACATTTCTTTGCCTTTGCCCTTGAGAACCTTGTTACGTCTGTGTGTAATGATTGCGGTCATATGTGGGGTTAAGGAGTGCAGACTATCAAAGATAACACTCAAAAATATGGGGGTTTTCACTGTCGGAATTTTAGCTTCATCGACAAAAATATTGAGGTATAGTCTGTATTTCTTCGTTCGTCCAGTAGGTAAATGTGGTAGCTATGAATTCAGCAGGGAAGAGGTTTAGCCTCTTTTTTCACTTTCAAACACATATCAGGGGTGCCATTGTCTGCCGTCTGTATCATGCAAATCATCAGTGTACGAGGTAATAGAAATTCCCTCTGGTAGAGGAGGGAGTTTCGAGATATGGAAGTTAAAAAATAGTAGGGAGAAGATATATGAAGATATCGTAGTCGGACAGATATAAATAAATTCGAATGGTCTTACCATATGTATATCTATTCTTAAAGCTGTTGTTGTTGGGATTAAAAATTATATTTTTATATTAATTTGATTTTAAAATTTTTGTTCCAATTTCGGGAATTAAGCTAAGAAAAATGTTAATCAAAAATTAAAAATTGGTAGAACGTGAAGCAAGCTCAAAAAAAAATTTTTTAATTTTAAATTGAAAAACCTTTTTTTTTTAATTATAAACTTTTGATTATTATTATTTTTTAACCCGGTATTAGGGATTAGAAATTAAAAAAAATGTTATGTAAGATTTTCGGGTAAATATAAAATGTAAATGTAATAAAAAAAAATTATTTAAATGTTAATTCAATTAGTTTTTAATGCATTTTATGCAACCCTTCTCTTTATACGGCTCATTAGAACTTAATTAAATTTGTATGTAAATAAAACACAAATTTTTAGATATTAATAGTCGCATACAAATATTTTTATATTAATTGATTTTATTTTTTTTTTCGACATTTCTAAAACTGTCAATTTCGTTAATAAAGATAATAAATAAAATTAATAGCAAAAATGCCATTTTTACTTTAATAAATATTCGTAATGCATATATTTATAAACTGGGCATTGCAGATAATAAATTAAATAATTTATGATGATGACTTAATTAAATGCAAACTTAATTCTATATATAAAATATAAATAAAATTTTTTGTTTTTGTTCACTAACATACTATGTATATTTTCGTCCAATTTTTTTTTTTTGTTCTTATAAAACGATCGGTTCATCGTCAACGGACTTTTTGTTCTTACGACGACGGCTTGATTTGATTTTACTCAGCACGTTATATGCCTGTTGAATTTCAATAAAACGTTGATTTGCAGCCGCTTTCAATTTCTCATCTTTGACCTTGTCCGGATGGAATTCCTTGGACAGGCGACGATATGCTGATGTAATTTCGGCTTGTGAGGCGGTTGCACTTACACCCAACACTTTGTAGGAATTGCGCTCGCCATCAACGTCCATACTTTCGAATATTTCCTTCCATGTCTCATACCAGCCATGATGTTGTGCATATTGATATGTATCCGTAAGGGCTTGTGTGAAATCTGTCCACCAAGCTGATGTAAGGAAATTCCGTAAAGCTTCATGTATAGGCACTTCACCACCATCGTCATCGGTAATCGTGCCATTGAAATAAAGAAAACATCCCCATAATGAAAAGTAAACCAACAAAGCAGCTGTCAGTTTCACCGAGCGTGCGCCAACGCCGTGCCGTTTCGGTGGTGTACGTAACCATTGTTTTGAATATGTGTCGAAAACAAGCGCAGAAACAAGCGCGGTCAATAGCAATGAATAGGTCTCATCATAAATTAGATAGCGCGCTGGATATATAGCGACGGCGCCGATTAAGCAATGCCACCAAACCCCACGTTCGCGTCCGATATTGCCCACAGTCCAGACGCCCAACGAAACAAATACCGGTATAAGCCAATGCAAGAAACCCCAATCTATACCAGCGAATATTGTTTCTGGTATGGCCATGAGCAGCACTTGTCCAAAGAGATAACCAATCATAACTTCACCCACAAAACGTTTAGCCGAGTAGGGCGGCCTTTGATTTGTTTGCAATTTTGCCACAAACGATTTAATAAATGTTGGATCCTCATTAGCATCCCGCACATATTCCGGTATTAAAACTATTTCAGCCAACCAACCGACACCGAAATAACCGCCCAAAGTGCACCACCAGATGAAAGCATGTCGATCCCGATGCAAATACAGGTGATGTAGTCCAAAAATACCACCAAAAAGCCAAAGAATATAGGCGATTATTACCGATTTCCGTTGTGGCAAAGTATTTGCTGCGGGTTGTGCACTTTTACCATTAGCAACAGGTTTACCGTTAGCCAATGATTTCCCATTCGCTATTGCGGAAGTGGAGTGGGACTCCGTTGCCTTCACTCTTAACATGGTGTCTTAAAAATTCAAGAAAAAAGAAAAGTGCATTAGATAATGCAGCAATTATCAAATAAAGGCAAAATTAAGTAGAATTATCATTAATAAAATAAAAAACAATGCTTTTACACAAGAAATGCAACATTCTAAAAATTTACTCACTGTGTCAGTTGATTTGCTGGATTACGTGTACTTCCTTATTGGAGCGCTTTAACAAAGTCTTAGCCAACTTTCTCTTTTCACAAATTCCATACACGCTTCACTTCAACTCTACAGTTAGGCTGTCTTCTTTCTTTGGCAGCACAAAGTTAAAATACCAAAACATTCAATATGAACTGCAAATTTTAGCGTTCACATAAGTATAAAGAACTGGCGGCTCTAAGTCAATTGTCTTTTTCTGCCCTATTTAATTTAAAAGTCATAAAAAAAGTAGTTTATTTTCGTTTGTCGTGATTTGCTTTTTTCACTGCTGCGTTAATGAATTGCTCGTTTGTTCCAATTCGTGAACGCGGCTTAAATAGGCCAATTACAGTTGCTGATTAAAGTCAATATAAGTCACTGCTTCAAACCAAAATCACAATTTTAATCTAAAGAAATTAATAACACTACACTTTTATTCATTACAAAGTGGTTCTTATTATATTAATAAAGAAAATTCAAATAAGAATTTCAACACCTGAAAGCGCGACGCGATTCGATTACTCTCTCATGTTTTTTACACATACGCTCATTTAAAAGCCTGGGTTACCTTTGACAGTATTTTTAATTTACTACACTGTGGTAAAATTTTAATTTTGATGCATAAAATGCAACCCTGTCATTTCACACATTGCTTGAATACATTTAATTGGTTGAACATACGTGTTATTGAGGTAAATAATAAACGGCAAGTTTTAATCTTTAATTTTATATAAATTCGTGTTACTAATAAGTCTTGCAAAGATTTAAACGAGAAGCGTCAAATGAAATGGTTAACCAATGTCGCGCCTGCCTCAATTCGAACGACACCTCCTTTATTCGTATGGAGACGCACATAGCTGATGGTGTCGATTTCTTTACATGCTTTAGCTTATGCACACAATTGGAAGCGGGACTTGATGACGGGCTGCCAGGAGTACTGTGCACACATTGTTCTCAAGATCTCGAAATATCTTTTAATTTCGTACAAAATGCCAGACAGGCTGATGGAATACTTCGTGAAAGCTTTTCACACAAGTACTTGTCCTCCGAAATAGATTCATTAGATAGCGAAATGGGTGATACAGTAATGGAGCCTTTAGAAGTAGTAGATGGCAGTGAAGTGGAAGATTGTGTGGTTGAGGAAATCATAGAACACGTACATGTTCCAGGAGAAGTTTCCGAAGAGCATGAAGAGAGCAGTGTTGTAGAAATAATGGAGGTAACTTAATATACAACTAGTGTTTATGTACGAAATATATTTTAACATCATTATTACATAGGTTGAAAAAAATGAACTGAGCATTTGTGAAAGCTCTTTAGATAACATAGAACTTATCGATAACAGTTATGTGGACCAAACTGTTGAGACAACGGAGGTTGAGATGGACGAGGAACGTGAATCACAATCAAAAACAGCAGGATATTATGCAGAAGACGAAGGTGACGAAGAATACCTGAAAATGTACAAAGAAAATGTTGCGCAATCGGACGCAAGCAATACATCCAGTAAAGGAGGAAAATGGAAATGCATAGAATGCAAACGTGTTTTGTGTGGTGATGTTTCTTATGAGGGTCATATGAATATGCACCGTTCATTGCGACCGTACAAATGTACGCTATGCATGTGTGCATTCCGATGCAAAAATAAACTGGACAACCATATACAACTGCGCCATGCACAAGAAAACGAACTACAAACCACCGATCGTATGAATTTCCAAACATTATATTTGTATAATTTGTAGTAAAATTTTTTTTTTTTCATTTCCAGTAAACAATTGTAAAAAGTGTACGAAAACTTTCGAGGCAACCGAAGAATTGAAAGAGCACCAAGAACTAATACATCCCGATAGTTATCCTGTACAATGTAGACGCTGTCCGTTGTTACCACCATTCGCGCGAACAAAATTAACGGAACACTTTCGTAATGAACATCCAGCAGAACATAGAAAATACTTTCCCACAGTTGGTAGACCACCAAACGATCCAGCCAAAGCAACACCATGGCAATGTGAGGTGTGTAAATGTTTTATGCGTTCAGAAGCCGCTTTGCGTGATCACAGACATACGCACCAGAATGAACGGCCGCATGAGTGCCAATTTTGTGCAAAACGTTTTGTTACTACTAGTAATTTACGTCAACATATGCGCGGTGTACACACGGAGGAATATGAGAAGTTAGTTAGTGAAGGCGGTGATACGATAGTGCAATGTGAAATGTGTAAAAAACAACTGCTCAGGCGAAATCTCGAAAAACATATGGCCTTACATGTGAAAAAGGAGCGCGAGGCGAAGGAGACGCAAACGAAATTTCTTTGTGCCTACTGCTGTAAGTAAACAAATATTTTTCTATTTGCTGTAAGTATTCAAATGTTTTTTACTATTATTTATACAGAAATATTTAAAAATATTAGGAGATTTTATAAACATGTTTTTTTTTTGTAAAAACGTGAATTTGTGTCCGGTTCGCGAAAAAAGTAAATTATAAAATATCTGTAATGCTTCCATAAAAACTTCTCATAAAGTTCATAAACCTTACGTTGTACGTATTTGTTGTTGTAAACTTAAAGGACGTTCAACAAATATTTTTAAAAATGCTTATAAAACGAACGTGCCTGTCCTGAAATAAATTCGATTTGTAAATCGCGACTATCTATGTATATCTATTAAACGTTAGTTGGCGTATAAATGTCGCCACAGCAAGATTTTACAAATCGTTTTGGATTCTTAAATGTTTACAACAACAAATATGCTTGAAACGTCTAACAAATGTTGCTTGACTTCCCTTATAATAGCTAGTATTAAAATTGGTTTTGTGAAAAATCTCATCTAGCATACGATTTTTTTTTCAAAGCCGAAACTTTTATTAGTGCTAAATTGTTTTAAAAATTAAGCTGTGATTTCTAGTAAAGTTTCTAAAAGTAATTAAAAATATATGAACATGCTAAATATTTTCTCAGCACGCGAGTGTAAAAGTCAAAAATCCCTCAATCAACACGAGAAAATGCATCAGGGGGCATCACCGGATGTTATATACATTTGCTCGGACTGTGATCGTTCCTATGCTACACAACATTTGTTGCAGCAGCATCGCAAACAAGCGCACAAAGAACGAGATCACTTTTGCCCGATATGTGGCAATGGTTTTAAGCTCAAGAATCAATTGGTAAATCACATGAAATTGCATTTGGAAAAAAATATCAAATGTCCACATTGTGAAAAATGCTATGCGCGTAAATTCGATCTAGATGTGCATCTGCGCAGTCATACGGGAGAGCTGCCATTCGCCTGTCATCTGTGTGAGAAACGTTTTGCAATAAAAGTACGTTTGACATACCATCTACAGAAGCACTATGGCATAAAGCATCGCTGTAAGGATTGCGGTGCGGAATTCAATTCGAAACAGAAATTAAAAGCGCATAGTTTCAAACACACGGGCATGCCCTATCGTTGTGAAAGATGTGATGGACATGGCTTTGCCAATCGCGATGTGTAAGTATTGACAGAGCAATGTCAATTGCTACAATATATTAATTTCGTTTCATTTTATTGCAGCTTCAAACGACATTTGCAGCGCGTACATTGCACGAGTATGAGCGACGAAGAGTTAGTTGCTATGTTCCAGCAAAACACTGGCAAGGCCACACGCATACGACAGATTGAATATTTTGACGAACATTCGCAAGGGACGGCTTCTAAAATAGCTACGGAAGCGGATAATACTTTGATTAATGCCGACGAAATTGCACTGGAATCGGAAGTGGTGCACAGCTGAAAGTAGTTGCAGTAGAGATTTTGTACTTTATGTTGTATATACAGTTATATGTACATCTAACATTTTAGACGATAGATTAGATAAAATAAAATAAAAAGTACGCCAAATATACGAACATACATGCACTGTAAAATTATGTATTTCTTTAATTTTACATTTCAACTTTGCAACTTACAAAGTAATTAACTAAAATTTCCAAAATTTAAAATAATAACCAATCTACAAATTCCTGCTTTGCAGCACGTGAATTCTCCAATGCGAAATCGCTCAGTGTGCATGAACACAACGTGCATCTGGTTAAATTGGAGGAGCCAAAATATGCATGTGGCATTTGTAAGCGCAAATGTTATCAACAGCGTGATCTCAATTGTCACATGCAGCGCGTGCATCTAGCGGAGCGCAAACACTATTGTAATGTATGCGGTAATGCGTTCAAGAGCGCTTGGGAGCTGACCGCCCACAGGCTATTGCATGCCGCAGACAAGTCTTTCGAATGCATACACTGTCAAAGTCAATACACACGGCAAGCAGATTTAATTGTGCACATGCGCACACATACCGGCGAACTGCCATACGCTTGCCACTTGTGTAGTAAACGTTTCGCAATCAAAGTACGACTCACATATCACTTGCAACGGCATGAAGGCGTCAAACATCCGTGCACATATTGTGGGAGTGTTTATTACAATCGTAATCAACTAAAAGAGCATCTCTTCAAGCATACTGGCATGCCTTATCGCTGTGAATTGTGTCCAGATGTTGGATTTACGCGCCGTTTGCGGTAAGCGCGTCTTTGACGAGTGTTTAAAGCATTTGTGTGTGTGTAATTACGTGTTAATTTTTAATAAATTTACCTTTAGTTTTTCCAATCATATGCAACGCGTTCATAATAAAATTCTAACAGCTGACGAATTGGCAGCTGTTTTTGCGAAATACACGGGAAAGGCGATACATTTCAATTCCAGCAACAAATCTCAGGAGAATATGGACTCACAGGAATTAGCTGATTTCATTGTAGATGATGAGAAAGAAGATGAAAATATGGTTAATGAAGTTTGATTATACATACTTGTAAATTATGAAAATTATTTCTATAACTTTATGTATAGCAAATTTGAAAAAATTTAAGCATTAAATAAATAATGAATAATTATTTATGTAAATGTTATTACCTAATTAAAGATAGAAGATTTTTTTTAGAATATACGCGATTATTACACATTTTTTTTTAGTGGTAATTAGCTTTTAATATAAATATCACCACACAGGTTTAATAAAGCAAGGAAAGGAGAGCTATAAAAAGAGGAGGTTAATGGTGCAAAGTCTCGATGAGTAGAATTTTAAACTACTATAGTACAAAATGATTTTATAACTCCAAATTAAATTAACTCTACCTTACACAGACATTATCAGATTATAGATTACCAAATATATTAAAAACAGGAAAAAAAAGTTAAATTCGATTGCAATGAAGCTATAGTAACCCTATGATCGGTGTTGTTGTTGCTGTAGTAGCGACAGAAAACATTCCTGAAGTAATTTGGAGGAATGGTGCCGAGTTGACAGTCCGGGTCCGTCCCGTTTACTTAGACCCGACTGTCGAGGGAACGGCGTTCATTTTGTATGGCAACTATATGCTATAGTGGGCCGATCTGAATAATTTGTTCGAAGAATATAGTGTTGACTTTGACAACAACAACAATAATCTATGCCAAAGTTCGTGTAGATACCTCGTAAAAAATTCATACAAGAACTTGATTGCGATTGTTCAGTTTGAATGACAGATATATGCTATAGTGAACCAATATAGACGATTCCAACAAATGAGCAGCTTATTGAAGAGATAAGGATGTGTGCAAAATTTTAGATTGATATCTCGAAAACTGAGTGACAGATATAGCATGGCTAAATCGACACAGCTCTTCACTCTGTTCGGTTATATATTATTAACTTTATAGGGTCATTAAAGCAATAAATAAAAGAAATACGAAATTATTTTGTACAACTTTAAGTTGATCAATATATTTAAAAATATAAATAATATTTTTTGTTTGTTGTACAAATGTTTTAGTTTGACTGCTCTTGCTCTATATTTTGCGCCTCCGACTGCAATTCTTCCAGAGTTTTCACATGCGGATTTCGGCCAGTATTCGCTTTGAACATTGCACAATACTCCTCATCAGTCATAGTCATATCGTGCATACGCAATAAATGCTTTCGAAAACTAAGAAATGTTGTCAAAAGAAATGCATATCAACGGACAATATATACAAAAAGTGAAGAAGTACTTACACATCACGCTGCGCACAGCCGTATTCACAAACGGAACATCTATATGGCATGCCAGTGTGTTTATATGAATGGATTTTCAACTGTTTAACATGATTGAATTCTTTTCCGCACTCCTGGCATTTCCGCTTTATGCCAGCATGACGCTGCAGGTGATAATTAAGGCGCACTTTGATTTTAAACCTACGATCACACAAATGACAAGCGTATGGCTCTTCGCCTGTGTGTATGCGCATATGGACTTTCAAATCAGATGAGCGTATAAACTTTTTTTCGCACACAGTGCATGCGAAATTACGTTCCAAGTGCAAACGTTTATGACTATGCAGTAAAACGTAACTCTTGAAGGGATCGCCGCAAATATCACAGATAAATTTACGCTCGGACGTGTGCACGTTCTCGATGTGGTTTTTCAAATATTTCGGATCAACTTTTTTCTGACATATAGGACATTCCTTGGGTTCGGGTTTCTCGCACATATGAACCTTTTTCTCATGCAATTTAACAGACGTTTCCGAATTATATTCACGCGCTATAGTAATAAGAAAGAGTTCTTGCATAAGTTATTGAAAATATATTTTTTTTAATACTTACGGCAGAATGCACACAGAAATTTTCTTTTTTTATTCAACGCATACTTGTGCCGTCTGTCGTGATACTTAATTTCACTTGTTGGTATGTCCTTATGACAAAATGTGCAATTAACAAATCCATTGTTTTCTGTTTCATTTTCCATTTCCACCACCGTAGTACTGATTTCACTATCTGCAACAGGCGTTGCTAACAAATCTTGGTGTTTGCGTCTTTTGTGGTGATAAAGCGAATTTTGGCTTGCAAAACGCATATTGCAAAACGCGCATTCAAATAACTTATCGTCGTCGTGTTTGGCATTTTGCCGGGTATATTGGTTATGTTTCACTTTCAAATGTCCTTGAAGAGACGCTTTCAATCTGAACTGCCTGGCGCATAAGGAACACTTGTATGGCTTATTCGCATCGTCATCCTCAACACCAACCGCAGCTTTTAAGCTACTTATGGAATGATTATGTATGCGTTTAACATGCGCCCGATACGTACCATGTTTTCTAAAACTCATCAAACATAATGGACAGTCAAATTTGTGTTCCTTTATGTGATAGGATAACTCCAGTATGGATGAAAATTGCAGTTGGCAATCGTCACATCCAAAAGTATTCTTCTCATCATTATCATTACAACGTCTTCTCGTACGCGGAAAATATTTTCTATAAGAATTTTTATGCTTCTTCTGAATATGTTTAGGTAGATCTTCACGTTGTAAGGATTCACTACACCATGTGCATTGAAATGGCGATTCTGTGCTATGTACAAGAGATTCATGAAGTTGTAGTTCGGTGGGAAGCTCGTATACTTTTGGACATTTCATGCAAATGATGTGAGCTAGAAAATGAGAAAAAACTTACATAGGAACGGAAAAATTCAACAATTAAAAATCCTACATTTGTGCAGATCGAATATATGATCTTTCAGTTGCTTTTGCGATAAATATGTGCAATCGCATATTTCACAAGAATGTGATATGCCTGGCTTGATAACGTCACCGCTGTCATCATCGCTGTCCCCGCCGTGCAGTGAAGGTTCGGAATCACTTTTCACAACATGATCCTCCATTATTCTTTCAAAATCTTCTGAAAGCTCAAGTTCCACCTTTATTTCTGACGCAGATATAGCCACTTCAGCACCGCCAGCAGTGTTGAAAGTTTCAGTTGCGACAATTTGTCGTTCTGGTGTCGCTAAAGGATCATTTGTGCATTCCACTATATACTAATGAAAACAATTATTAAACTTTATATTTATGGTGGAGACATATTTTCGATGGTCTTCCTGTACCTGTGTAGTTTGGGTTGTAGTATAAATGCCTACGCCATCTTTTTGTGTTGTCAAACTCTTTTTAAGTTCTTCATCGGACTTACGAGCCCTCTTTATAAAATTATAGGCATCATGTAAGTCTTCTGTGCAAGTTGTACATAATATTTGTGGAAGTTCATCATTCACTGTTGCTTGTAGTTGAGTGCACTCATTAAAGTAATCGTATAAAGTTTTACCATCCTCCGCAATTGCGGCATAATTCATATCCACAACCGTTTCACAATCCACTTGCATACAAGCACGGCAGTGCATTTTTTATATTTTGTTTTCGTTGCAATTCCAATTTGTTTGCGATACAAATTATACTTATTTCACGATCTTTTTTAATGCTAATTAGTGATGATAAAACAAGCAATACAATATCGATTTTACCGATGTTCTTGCCTTGTTCGATAGTTCTGCACTAATATCGGTAGGAACACCAGATTAAATAAACAGCTGCGCAAATAACAAAAACTTAATGGGAAAACTTTAGAATACCGTTCCAGGTTAAAACGAATTAGTGAAGTGTTAGTGGATATAAAAATTAAGTATAAGTGTAAAATTCATTTCATATGGAAAAAATACGTACTTGAAATAGTTGAGATTTTGAACTTTAAACCCAAATATCTCGAAAACTATAAGTTTTTTACGGTTATATCTATATACACTCTTGATCTGGAAGACCTCCTCTATCCGCGTGTACCCATTTTATCGCTGAAATCCTGGGACGGTATTCTAAAGCCGACCCAATTAATAATAAAAACAATAAAACAAAAATGTAACAAATAATAATAAAAAAAAAATTTTTTAAATTTCAAAAATATATATATAATAAAATTAAAAAATAATAATAAACAAAGTTTAAAAAATATTTTTGAAATGCAGATTATATGTGCCAGAGATGGGCATTAAGTTTCGATATATCGGAGAAGTATCATCAATAGGCCCTGGTATATATATTTTTATATATCGATAGTACGGCAATAGTAAACCGTTAAATCAGCATTTGTGCACAACTCAATATACACCTTATTCTGTTTTACATAGCTTGGTTGTAAAAAGAAACATTGATCATTCCCCTATATATATAAAATGCTAATACCTCTAAATTTGTGATATGAACATATGTATTTCCCAAAAATTAAATCTGACAAATACAATTGAGCTCAAAATATTTTGAAAAATGTTTTATTTTCAAACCGTGTTAAATCAAAACCGTGTAAAAAACGAAATTAGATGTACCAGTATATCTACTGTGGTGCACAATTTGGTAAGAAAAGGAGATTAGATACTTGTATATAGATTTTCTATTGTAATATTTGGTTGCCACTCAAATAGTAGATATAAGTAACATTACAATTTCTTACGAAAATACAATGTTATAAGTTGCACAAATTAATTACACTTTTCCTTACAAGAAAAATAATAATAAACCCGATTAGCATCTTTTAAGATTTTTCTAAATAAAAACAACACTACCCCTATGCATTAATTTGAATTATCTGATGTTTGCAAATTTTCCGTCAACTTTTTTAGGTATTCAACACTTTTTACGCGAGGCGATTTACCAGTATTCGTTTTAAACATTAAAAATAATTCATCTTCAGTAATTTTAATGTCATGTTTTCGGAGCATATGTGTCGTTATACTGCAATAAAAATATATAAGTTTTCTCATTCTCATTAAACAGACAATGTTAAATTCAATAAAACTTACTATTCACGTTTTGCAGTTTGATAATCGCAAGCAGTGCATCTATATGGCATTTTCCCATTATGTTCGAACGAGTGTCTTCGCAATGTTGTGCCATCGCTGAATTCTTTGCCACAAACTTTGCATATTTTCTTTATATTAGCATGGTGTTCTAAATGATAGGTAAAGTGTGACCGGGTTCGAAATTGACGATCACATAAATGGCAAGCATATGGCAATTCGCCCGTGTGAATGCGCATATGCACTTTCAGGGCAGATGTTTCCGTAAATTTCCTATCACATACACTGCATGGCAAATGGCGATCTGTCAGATGCAACAGTTTATGCCGTTTAAGTTGACTAGGACTCTTATAGGCACCGCCACAAATATCGCAAATGTTATTACGTTCCCCTATATGTACAGTTTTAATATGATTCTTTATGTAATCCGACTTTAATTTTTTCTGACATATTGGACACTCCTTAATATCTGTTTTTGAATTGAGATGCTGACTTCTTTCGTGCGACGCCAACGACACATTTGAACATAACACGCGTGCTGGAATATGAAAGATTTTTTTATATAAGCATTTCTTTCGTAAATTGGTATACAAATTATTTATAACGTCAATACTTACGACAAAATGAACAGAGAAACCTCTTTTTTTCCTTTATTTGCGGAATATTTTTCTTTTTACTTTTTTCCTTTTTACCCGATTTTTTTGGCGCTTGAACGGTGTCCTCGTCCTCGTCTTCTTCTTCTGACATCGATGATTCCTTTGCTTGATTTTCTGTCGTTTTTTGTTTAACTTTTGATTCTGTTCCTTTACTGTGCTTGTCTTTTAAATGCATATTGTACAAGCCTAAATTTTTATAGCTTTTGTTACAAGCTTTACATTGAATCGGTTTATCTTTGCTATCTCCCGCTAATGGTATAGCCGGAAATTGGCTTGCTGAACAGTTATGCAAACGTTTAACATGTAAGTAATATGTACGCATTCTGTTAAAATTTTTTAAACAGAATGGACATTTAACCAGGTGTGATCTAATATGTTCTGCTAAATCAATAACCGTTGTGTAAATATTTTGACAATATTTACATGTGTATTTTGTGGGCGATCGAATATCCGTATCGATTACATGTCGTTTTTGTACATAAGGGAAATACCAAAAGTAGCGGGAATTATGAGTTGTTTGAAAATGATTGACAAGCTCATTACGAGGCAATAGAGGTTTTTCACTACAGAAATTACATTGTACTGGTGAATCGGTTCCGTGTACAAGTTGGTAGTGAATTCTCAACTCAATAGGCATATTAAAAATCTTTGGGCAACTTAAGCAAATTACTTCAGCTAAAATATATAAATATAAAAATATTTTAAGGTGATAAATAGATTATACCTATGTACTTACATTTATGCTGTTGTGATATATGTTTTTCAAGTTCACTTTTGTTTGTGTATGTACTACTACATATCTCACAATTATAATCCACATTTTTTATGCGCTCCTTTTCACTTTCATATTCGTCCTGCCGAAATAAATTATGTGTTTTAGTTTCATTTGCCATGATTACTTGCAACTGTTCATCATTGTCATCCGCTGCTGTATCTTGTATTTCTGTGGTGGCCACCGGTGTGCTATCCCTTACGATTTCTATTTGTGTTTCCTCAAAACATCGATTTGGAGATTCCTCTAAGCACAAATTTTCTGTTGAAAATTCCAGCAAAGTTCGATTTGGAGATTCCATTAAGCAAGACTTTTCCGTTGGAAATTCCATCAAAGGTTCCTCCAAAGATCGATTCGGAGCTTCCTCTAAGCACGACTTTTCCGATGGAAATTCCACCAAAGCTTCCTCCAAAGTTCGATTTGGAGCTTCCTCTAAGCAAGACTTTTCCGTTGGAAATGCCATCAAAGCTTCATCCAAAGATCCATTTGGAGATTCCTCTAAGCAAGACTTTTCCGTTGGCAATTCCAGCAAAGCTTCCTCCAAAGCTCGATTCGAAGATTCCTCTAAGCATGACTTTTCCGTTGGAAATTCCATCAAAGGTTCCTCTAAAGATCCATTTGGAGATTCCTCTAAGCAAAACTTTTCCGTTGGCAATTCCAGCAAAGCTTCCTCCAAAGTTCGATTTGGAGCTTTCTCTAAGCAAGACTTTTCCGTTGGAAATTCCAGCAAAGCTTCCTCCAAAGTTCGATCTGGAGATTTTTCCAAGCACGACTTTTCCGTTGGAAATTCCACCAAAGTTTCTTCCAAAGATTCATTTGGAGCTTCCTCTAAGCAAGACTTTTCTGTTGGAAATTCCATCAAAGCTTCCTCGGAAGATCGATTTGGAGCTTCCTCTAAGCAAGACTTCTCCGTTGGAAATTCAATCAAAGGTTCCTCCAAAGATCGATTTGGATCTTCCTCTAAGCAAGACTTTTCCTTTGGCATTTCCACCGAGGGTTTCTTAAGAGCCTTTAGCGCTTCATGAAAACTCATATCTAATGGATCTTCTGTACTTTCTTCCGTATCCTAAGATATAAATTTTAATATTTCTTATTCATTTAATCATTTAACATATATTTACCTCAAGCATACAGAATTCCTCTGGTGAACTATCAACCGAATCAGTTTCCATTTTTTGAGATATTAGAAGTTTCTTAAATTCCTCATTCGACTGACGTGCACTTCTTCTAAAGTTATATGCTATTTCTAGCTTTTGTGCACATAGTTTACAAAGTGTTTTGGGCAGATCATCATTTGCTGATGCATCTAGTTGTGTACATTCATTGAAGCAATCGTAAAGGTTTTTGCCGTCTTCTGTGCCAAGAATATTCATCTCGAACAAGATTTGGCATTTACTTTGCATACACACGCGACATTGCATTTTTGTACTTATTTTAACATGGAGAAGTATTAAACCCAATTAAATTTAGGCGAAATGTAAATAAATAGTAGTTTGTACTACCGCTTTACATACAATTCCTTCGATTATCTCATTAGTAATGAAACTGTTGTAATAAATTTATCGATAACAAATCGATATAAAAATACTTTTATTGCAATGTTTTAACTAAAATTAATTAAAATTACTTCAATGAATATAACGATATTACATTTTGTTTTGATTACCTGCGGTAAATATGGAATGATAAGAAGAACTGAATTTAGTTTACTTAAACCAGAAAGCTTTGTATTTCGAATGTTCAAGTGATGGGAAACCACATCAGCCTGAGCATGGTATTTTATTTGCCGCGAAATTTGTAACCCACAGATGTAAACGACGGAGATCCTATAAAATATATACTTACATACATATATAAATGATCAGCACGGCGAGCTGAGATGATTTTCCCATGTCCATCTGTCTATACTTACGCAAATTAGTCAATCAGTTTGAAATTTTGCACACGTCTCCAAGAAGTTGCTCATTTGTCGGAACCGATACCTAATATCGTACCACTATAGCATATAGCATATAAACAGAATGATCACGATCATGTCTTCGTATGTAAAATTTTTTTTATTTGAGATATCTTTATGAATTTTGGCGTGGATAATTGTATAAAGCAATTCTGCAATCTCCGAATACTGAACGATAAAAATCAAGCTCTTGTATGGAATATTTTGTAATTGTGAATAATATTATAGCTTGGGTGCAAATGAAGTTAACGTTTTTTCTTGTTACATGTTTTATTTATGCTTCCTTTGCAGGCTTTAACCAAAGTATGTCAAAAATGTTGAAATAGTAATAGTTTTATTAACAATGCGTTTTTCTAATTTAAAACTTTCAATATTTTTTGTTACTGTAATTAATTACAGAATTAGTAAAATAAACTAAACCCCATTTCTATTCGCCATTACTATTACTAAAGTCATGGACACACAGCTCATCGTTCAATACAACGTCGTCGACTACCTTTACATAAGGAGATCTGCCAGTATTCGTTTGGAATATTGCAAATAACTCATCAACTGACATCGTTTTGTCATGCTTATTCAACATATGTTTGACGAAACTATAAATAGTAAAGAATGTAACAATCAAATATTCAATTAAAATTAATAATAAATTTACGTACTAATCTCGTTTGACAGAGCCGTAACCGCAAACTGAACACGTATATGGCATAATGTTGGTATGTACATAGAAATGGTTTCTTAACGATTTGCCGTGTTTGAACTCCTTTCCACAAACGTTGCATTTGTGTTTAATACGAGCATGTTGTTGCAAGTGATATGTGAGATGAACTCTTATTCGAAAGCGACGATCACATAAATGGCAGGCATATGGCTTTTCACCTGTGTGAAGCCGCATATGCACTTTGAGTTCAGATTTTTCAGTAAACCTTTTATCACATACTGGACATGGATGATTGCGATCCTTGGTGTGTAAAAGTCTGTGTCGCATAACGTTATCATTGGTTTTATACATGTTGCCACAAATATCGCATTTAAATTTTCGCTCTCCAATGTGCACATTTTCGATATGTTTTCTTAAATATGCCTTATCAAATTTCTTTTGGCAAAATGAGCATTCCTTAAGATCAGGTTCAATGTGTAAATGCTGCTTCCTTTCATGAATCTGTACAGCACGTTTAGTAGACAATACACGGGCTGAAAAAAATGTATACAGTAGAGTGAGAATTACGTTTGGAAATAAATATACAATGTTAGTTAATGATTTTCACTTACGACAGAATGAGCAAAGGAACCTTTTCTTCGCTTTTAGATTTTGCTTATGTACATTTGCTTGCAGATTTTCCTTAGGAGATTCCTGTTCACATTCGGAGGTATATATATTTCTATACAAACTCTTTTCAGGCTGTTCTATACAATCGTTGGATTCAACGTCGTCTTCTACGTTAGAAATGGTTCCATGACAAACATTAGATTTAACTGTCTCACTATTGTCACTTAGCATTTCTGCATCGCTTTTATCAGATTCATGTTTTCGGCGTAAGTGTCTGCCGTAGGCAGCTATAGTTGCAAAAGTTACATTGCAAATTTTGCAATTTATAAGTTGGTCTTCAATTATTTCAACTCCTTTCATAACAACCTGCGTAGCAGGGACTTCAGTTTCTGAGCAGTTATGTAACCGTTTAATATGTCTGTAATACCTACTCACATCTGTGCAAATCTTCGAGCAGAAGGGACATTTAAATAAATGTTTTTTTACATGAAGCTGAAGTTCGAAATCCGATGAATATAATTGTTTACAATACAAGCACGGTAATCTAGTAGTATCGATTTCTATTTCTATATGATTAGTTTCTTCAAAACTTAAACTTGAACTATCTTCTTTCGTTTCATTCGACTTTTTTATTAGCGTTTTATTGTCATATTGTATATCAAAAACTGATGTGGAAGTGTTGTCCATTTCTAACCTGTGACTCCTTATATGTGTCTGCAAATCTCCTATAACATATTCTACTGCATCAGTCTCATATGCCTCAATACCGGGAAATGAATCTTCTTGGTAAGAGTCTTCTATTATATCCGCTTGTGACTGATTATGGTCGTTGGAACATTCACCTTCGAAACTAGAAAATTGGTTCCAAGCTTCCTCAACCAGAGAGAATTCACTATCAGTTCGTTTTACAGATTTCACCGCTTCACAGAATTCTATCTCCAAAGGATCGTTTGAGCAATCTTCAATATCCTATTGAATAAATCTTCATCGAATTATGTTATTGCATAAAGTAATACATATTTTTCTGTATAATTACCACAATTGAATTAGTAGGAGATTGTGTATTAATTTTTTGTAGTCTTAGAAACTTTTCAAACATTTCGTTAGACTCCAGTGCACATTTTTTAAAGCTATATGCAATGCGTAGTTTTCCAGTGCAGGTTTTGCACAGTGTTTTAGGAAAACTATCACTGGCAGTTGCACATAGCTGTGTACAATCATTGAAGTAGTCAAAAAGTATTTGTCCTCCATCTGCTCCACCAACACTCATATCAATTAAGCTGTTACAATTTGCTTTCATGCACGCTCGGCATTGCATTTTACTATACTTTTAATTATTTGAATAAAACTTCAATACTTTATAATACTTAATTATCACTTTTAATAACTTTTTATAGCATTACACTCTTCAAAATAATTCTGTTACAAAGATGCAGGAGCTATGAGAAACAGGGAATTGAATTTTGCATATTAGCGTCTGTAAACAGCTGATTACTGATAAGAGAGCTCAGTTTCTAATCATGTAGAGATGTGTTTTACTTTCGATTGATATTCAATTATCAATAACATACCAGGAAGTCACAGCTATCGAAACTCAAATCGATTGAAAAATTTGATGGCGAAACTAACAAATACAACTCTTAAGGCTTTGGCGTTAGAAAGGGATAAACGCTCACAAGTGTCTCGGTTAGAATCATCGTAAAGGGTATATACCATGGTCAGAATTCTCAATTAGTTCTTAAGAAACTCATAGAAACTTCAACAGAAATCCCTGTTAGGTAATTAACCGGTGACTTAACCGATAGGTGGCTTGCATAGTTTATTATGAAAGCAATCACAAATCCTCTTCCATTGGATCTACGTGAACGCAGCAGGACTTATATCTGCCAAAGAACCATCAAATCGGCAGCATTCCTTAGCCACTACAGCAGAAAGTACTTGCAAAAAATTTAAAAACTACATATTTATTTGTAAAAAAAATTTAATGCATTTGATACGCAGTCAAAAAAAAAAATAACATTAATAATTTGACACTTATCTTATTTAGTTTTAATATTTAAAATTTGATTACGAAATAATAGGTTGTACTCGTCTAATAATACATAATTAATTAGCGAAGAATAGATATTAAATATAAAATAAATTAAGAAAACTGTAAATGCGTTATATAATACATATTTATGTATGCTAATTATATTGTAAGGGGACCAATGGCAATCAAATTGAACTCGCTTCACATTTAAGAGGTGTGCATGTTTACAAATATAAATGAAAAAAATAACGTGATTTATATGCAAACGAATACAATTTTATAAATAAAATTAATATTATCCGTTCAGGGCTAGTTAATTAATACATGTTTATGTTTTTAGTAAATTTATGTAATAATTGATGTATAAAATTAAAATACACAATATTAATTACTATTTTTAAGCTATTAACGCTTTATAATAAATAATACATATGTTGCTTTTATTGAAGTCATTGTTGGCACTAGCTAAATTTTGCTGTGATCTACTTTCATCGTATTGGAGAAGCTCAATTTTTTACTTATTTGTAAAATTTCCCAATAAGAAACATTGTTTAGTTGTTTTTCTTTTTCGGTTTCTTCGGATTACGTGAACGAGACTTTGCCTTACATAATGGGCAAATGGGAGCATTACGATGTATTTGCTGGTGACAAGATAGACATGACTTCATAGGTGGCGGTTGTTGACGTAGGTTCACATTAAAATCTGAACGAAATGAAGGATGATGACCAATTCCAATTGCCGGTGACTGCTGTAAACGAGATGAAGGTGGAGGAGGCGGCGGTGGAGCAGAAAAATCGCTTTTGCCTAAACGTACTGCAGCCGCAGCAGCGGCAGCATTGCCTGTTCCGGGTGGAGCGGGTGGCATAAAAGCATGCCCACCAGTGGGTCCAGTACCACCGCCCGTTGGTGGCAATGCAGTGACGGTAGCTTCTGGAAGAAGTGGATGTCGAGGATGAGGACGTGCCAATGATGTTGGTTGTGCTGCAGCAACAGCAGCCGCAGCAGCGGCGCTCACCTTTAAAAAGTTTGTTTGGAAACGATCTTTTGATATTGGACTACCCTCTTCTTCATGTAAGTCACGTAGGGGACTTAATCCTAAATAGTCACGGCGCATATGATCAATTTGATATTTAAGTGCTAGATAATCTTCATACACACGATTTGCCATGTCTACGGAACGCGTTTGATTTTCTTTTGTTTGCTTTATTATGTTTTCCATATCGTTTATGTCGGCATGTATTTGTCTTAGCTCTTCGACATGTGACATTTTTTCTTCCAACAAATGCTCCATTTCTTTACGGTATTCATCCAGACATTTTTCTTCATCATCACTTAATTTCACCTCTTTGATGATTTTCAATTTTAACTTTTCTAAAGCAATTGTTTTATCACGTATATCCTTGATAGCTTCAAGTTTGGCATAATAGTGGCGCTCATTGGAGCTGGAAATATCGCTGGTGGCCATTTTTTCTTATTAACCCCCTTCTGTTAGTGTTTGCGTTGGTCGATGGTTAGGGGTTTTCTTCGCAGGAGTTCCGTCACGTCACAAAATATGTTGTCGACTTTGTATAACACTCACACAAATCAGATACAATAATTTTATTGCATATTTATCAGCATTATAATATTAAATGTGTGATATTTTATAAAATTCACTTAATAAAAGTAATTTGCAAAATCTAAAACTTCTTAATGTTGTGTACAAAACTCAGTTCTTCTTCTTTAGATAAAACTGATTCACAATGGTATACCTGAAGGTTCGGCTTTGTTTTACAGCCATAGTAAAACGAGTAAATTTTTATGCCGATAATTTCGATTTCAATAAGAAATTATAATAATGATGAACACACATTATTATTTAGGTTTAATTAAATATTGAAATATGCAATGCAAAGCATTGAATTATTTAGAGCAGAGAGAAGAGATGTTGCCTTCTATTCTTACGCAACTATTATATTAGATTTCGGTACATTATTAGATGTCAACATATTTAAAATAAATTTTTCTGGCAACATTAGTTTTTTTGTTGTCAAGACAATGGTATCTGGGAAGATTGAAAAGGATTGAAATATTTTATTAGATGTATATCGTTTGAAAAAAGGGATCCTGCTTGCGAATAAAAATGAATTCGCCTAGTCGCGCTGAAATCCACTTTGAAGATATGCGTTGCTGTCGTTCCTGTCTGTCTGTGGCTTCCGAGGATGATCTTGAGGATTATATTGATCTACTGGAGACATTTACTGCCGAGTGTGGAAGCATTACTTTACTAGAGTCTTTCAATAAATGCACTTCCTTAAATGTGCTGATAGAAGATTTTATTATTGAAGGATATCCGCCTTGCCATTACATATGTGGACGTTGCCGTTTAGAACTCAAGCAAGCTAATGAGTTTATAGCCCGAGCACAATTAAATAATCAGTTATTAAAAGAACAATATAGCCGTGCCAAATCTATACATTCCCCAATAAGTGATAGTGAGCTACATGAAATCGAAAATAAAAACGAATCCATTGCTGAAGAATCAGAACATGATGAAAATGAAGAGGAACTGAAAACTGGGGTACAATAGAAAATGCTACAAAATTAATATAACTACTAAAATAATAATAATTTTTAGAGTTTTACAGATTTCGAGTTTGACAACCAGAATTCTCCCGTGTTGGCTGCCAGTGAGATACTTGAGCCGCCGGATGATGATATTCAAGAAGATAATGAAATCGCGCCGACAACATTAATCAGTGTTGAACGAGTAATTTCTAAAAATGATAAAAATGCTGTCAATAATTCGCAGACATCGAAAGCCAGTAAAGAATCTGTACTAAGTGCTAACACCTACCGAAATGAGGAAGACACAAATATTGATGAAACAGACAAGACATATTTTGAATTTAAATGTGAGTTTTGTACTTGCATATTCGAATTTCAAAGAGATTTACTGCAACATTATGAAATTGACCACGGTATGTAAAATGTGTGCTTGAATGGCTTTAGTTTTTAATTTTACACAATGCTTCTATATGTTTTATAGCGGACAAAACACTTAATTTTCCCTGCGACATTTGCCAAAATCGATTTGTAACGAAAAATGCTCTGCGACTGCATCGACGTCAGGTGCATCAGAAAGATGAATATCTGGATTGTAAGCATTGTGGACGTACCGTATTAAAAACATTCTATAACGTGCATTTGAGGCGCCACAAACAACTAAAATTCTTATGTAGCAAATGCCGTAAGTTACCAAAAATATTTTACACTGTTTTATATTAATATAAAGTTTTATTTCGTTTCAGCAAAAAGATGTGTTTCGCGTTACACACTAAAAAAACATATGGAACTGCACTCCGAAGAGCGTGATCGCAATATTGAATGTGTCGATTGTGGCAAACGTTTCTTTTCACTTGAACATCTGCAATTACATCAAACCATTCACATTTCACCCGAAGATAGAGCAGTATTCGAATGTACTGTTTGCTCCAAAACATTCTTACGCAAATCGAATCTTGGTTTACATATGCAAATGCATCGCGGCGAGACAATGGATTGCCCACATTGCGATAAGAAGTTTGTAAGACGTAAAGATCTCGAAATACATATACGTTTCCATACTGGCGACTTTCCATACTCATGTTCGATGTGTGACCGAAAATTCGCCATTAAAGGACATCTTAACTATCATGAGAAACGTCATCTGGGCGTGCGTTACAAATGTGACGAATGCGAGAAAACATTTATAAATCTGGCCGGTTTGCGACAACATCAGTATGAGCACACGGGTATGCCACTAATGTGTAGTGTTTGTCAGCGCGGCTTTCCAACTCAATTCAAGTAAGTAAATATCCAGTGTTTATACCCTGTACAGGGTATATAAAGCTTGCCACGAAATTTGTAACAAACTTGAGATTTTGATCTGAAAATTTGCACACGTCCTTTACTTCTCATGAAGCTGCTCATTTGTCGACATCACCGATATCAGATCACTATAGCATATAGCTGCCATACAAACTGAACGATCAAAATCATGTCCTTGTATGGAATTTTTTTTATTTGAAATATATCTTCACGAAATTTGTTCTGTATTATTGTTCAAAGCAACTGCACAATCTCCGAAAAAAATTCGTTCGGAACGTACATATATATAACATACCGCTGCCATGCAAATTGATTGATCAAAACAAGTTTTTGTATAGAATCTTTTGTATTTGTGAAGGGTATTATAGCTTCGGTGCTACCGAATTTAACGTTTTTCCTTCTTTAATGGATCTACGTATATACATACACAACCGTATGTATGCGATTTACGTTAATACATTAAAGGCGTGACATTGTTTGTTTTTCTGCATTGTCATCCTGAATTAGTTGCGTGTTGAATTATACATATATTTTGCTTCTTTTTTTAGGATTCGCCGTCATTTGCGCAACGTACATAAACACCTTTTTAAGAAAACTGACTACTCAGATGCATTAGCAAAAAAGTATATAATCGCTACAACAAATTCAAATCAAGCAATCAAGAAAGCAACAGAGTTAGTAGATGAACTAGAAGACACAATCGAAATGCTTGAGGAGCATGCCGAAGACATTCCATTAAATATGCTGTCTGTTTAAGATAACAGTTTTGAATTATACATACATACATTATGGAATATTACTAGTCACAAAAAGATGTAATAATGGAAAATATAGCCAAATTTTACTAAATAGTATTTATTGAAAACCTAAATACAGTATTTAATATTAATAAGAAAACACCATCATCGATGTCGCATACATTAAACTACTTATAAAATATAATTAAGAATATACCATATGTATGTGCGTGTACTGCACTGCGCTACTCAACAGCCCTCCAGCTCGGGTGGTATGGGAATGTCATTATGTGCCGCGAATTGTAGTAAGGCCTTGTATTTATTCTTCCAGTTAGTTATGTCCTTGCGACATTGTTCATTATCATCATGCATGGTTTCCAGTTCAACCCATTCATGCGACTTTTCTGTCTCCAAGACATCTTTCTGTTCTATGCGCTTAATACGGCAACTAGCCGCATAACCACGATTCTTCAGCGTACGACGACGCTGCTTCATACGCACAACTTCTTCGCGATTGAGGCCGCGTGACTTCAAGGTGCGATTAAGGTCCCGCACGGATATAGAGACCAGTTCATCGTCGCTTATGTCAGGTATAGGACAGGGCGAAAGCGGTGCCTTTGTGTAATAAACAAAATAAAAGAAGTTAATATCTCATTCCACTTCATTTGTTTTCACATAATTTGTGAGTATTTTTTTGATAATTCATTGCATTTACGTAAATTTGTTGTGTTACCATTGATGATTTTCGTTCACGTCGATGCTGTAGTCCATCCATCTTGTTTGCGCAGTAGTCAAATTAGTTGACGTAGAAAAATTTGTTTATGTTATAATAGATTCGCCTTAAATTTAACAAATTATAGCACTTGCACACTTTCAATTGAAAATAAATACCTGAATAAATAATTGTAATTGCAATTAAAATGTAGAAATTTCTCCAACAATATAGATATGAAATTCACTATTAAAACCCTTTATTATGATTAAAACTGATGAACAATATGAGACCTTTTCACTTTTTTTTATCAACAATAGCTGTAGGGTTGCTTCGTTAAGTATTAAATGTAGTGAAGTAAAGAAACTCACCACATGATGTTGCCATATCATAATTTGAATAATGCAACACAGTGAATAAATGAAACAGTGGTGAATAATTACCAGTGAAACAAAATTTACTGCCCCGAAATTCCAATATCCTTCACAGTTGATTTCTTACAATAACTATTGTTGTAACTAAAGCTGAAACGGGTTGTTTCGAGAATGTAGAGATGTCTTGTCAAATAAAAAATGTTACCATATAAAGACTTGAGTTTGATTGGTCGGTTTGTAGAGTAAAGGACGTGTCAAAAGTTTTCGATCGATATCTCAAAAACTGAGGGACTAGTTCGCGTATATACAGACAAACAGACGAACGTGGCTAAAACGAGCTTTCTTTCGAAATTGATATTCTTCACAAAAGAAAAAAGGTTAAATTTATTGACTAGTATACAGTGGATCATATCAACAGTTGGACTGTGGGGGTGATACCAACCATTTATATAAAAAATATCATGCCCCATAAACGATTTTACTGATTTGACAAATAATACTTTCGACATGTAGTAACTCTGATTCAAATCGGTCCATAACTTGGGTCCCATTGATCGAAAATTAGCATATCCGGTTAGTGCGTGGTATCTCAAAAAAATTGATTAGAACGAATACCGATTTAATACATGAAGCTTAGACTTCAAGGAGTAATTTTATGAAAGTTTTAAGGGTACTTCAGTTTCTTTTCTTATTTTATATAATTTATTTACAATTTTCGTTACTTTGCTATTCTTTTATACACTATTAGGAATAGGAAGTATACAAAAAAAAAAAAAATATATATATATATGTTTAAGAAACTATGTATATACAATGCTTAAAAATTATATATCACAGTTAAATTGCTAACATTAATACAATATTTAAAAAAATTTTTAATTATAAATTATTAAATTAAAAAAAGTCTTAACCAAAAGCCATGCGAAAGAAGGCGCCCAAAGGCATATCAAACTCTGGTTGAAAATCCAAAATCGAAGCGCCGCCACAATTTAATTGATAAAGATTACTGGCAGATCGTGTCTCCGATTGATGCGTCGCCTTATCACATTGTAAACTGAACAGTATGAAAAGTACGCCGGCGATCGCTGCGGGAAAATACCCGCCGAACGTATTGGACATAGCACGTTGTTGTTGGGTAAATAAACGTTTCCAATGAGCGCACGTTGTTTAGCCAGTTCCGTATACGCTAGAAGTAATAGTAAGCACCGAAATGAGAAAATTCAATTGCCGCCGTTCGTATTTATAGGTATAGCGGAGAACACGCATAGCTAATACTTGCGTGCTGATGAAGCTTTCTTATTTTCAAAATGTAATGCAAATACATTTACATGAATGTTACTGTGAATTTAAGCTCACTGCAGTATATGAAACTTATGTGTGCTCGTGCGAATGTGTGTTTAGGCACAGATATGAATTTCATCAGTTGGCGTATGGGTAATGCCCAAGCATGATACTTTTTATAAAGTTTATGTTGTTAAAGTGCTCTATGCATCCAAAAAATCCACTAGCAGGGTTTGAAATATACCAAGCATCTTTAATTATACAGGGTAAATTGAAAGAGCTAGGCGGAGAGATCGACTTCGAAAGAATTCGCCCAGACAGTGGAAGTTTGCACTTAATCATATTTTGTTCAGTTTAAAGATGCAAGGTATTCCGAGTAAATCGAGAGAGTAATAACATGAATGCTTTACTCGAAAAGTCGTCGGAACTTTATGTTTTATGAATATTTGTAAAATATATTTTCCAGGTAGATTCACGTATATATACCAACCGATCAAATTTGACCCGGACTGGACTATTAATAATATAAACAATAAACTTTTTTTTCTAAATTGCTAAACCATTTTTAACCTTTAAAAACGATTTTTACTATGGTAACAAATTGAACAACGAGTTTGCTTGGAATTTTGTGTGCTTTAATGATATCGCAGATACGTAATTGTTGAAAATGTTGCAGAAATTGTTTTGTGGAGTCTACTTTATCAAGAATTATATTATTTAGTGGCACAAAGCATAAACTGAAAGTCGTAAAGTGATCGAAAACTTACTTCATCCGAGTCGTCCATCCTCCTCTGTTAAAAACGGTAACATCGAAGAATTTAAAGATTAAAATTTAAAGACTAAAGGCCATCCCAGCCGAGGGATCAAACACGTATTTTTTTCTTATTACTTTGGATGATCCTATAAGAAGTTCTACTGTTAACGCGGAAGCACCTGTTTTCCGAAGGAATATCGGAAATGACGTCGAAATGATTTCACAAAATCTTTATCAAATATGTGTCTTCGGAATAATAAAAAGTTTGAATAAAATATTTTATTTTTTATATGAAAAAAATTATTGAAAATAGGGCGTTTTTGCTCAATCATTGTAACCCCTTAAACGTTGCCTAGTTTATATTCGCTCCGGAGTCTATTTTGAAGACGATAATAAAGATTTGCTTTAAATTATGTGAAATTTATTTTTGTATTGTCAGTCCGGGTCAAATTTGATCAGATGGTATATTCGATACGATTAATAGCAAAATGTAAAGATAGATTGTGAGTATATTTGGAGCGAGTTTCTACAAAAGCATTATCTATGTTCTATTATCTGCTTTAGTAGTTTGTGAGATATCACATTAGGCCACGGCTTCTTTTCAAAGATTTTTGTACCGCTATATAACGGTTATTGTGGCGGCACTAATCAACCTATTCAGAGTGTAAAGAAACCCATGTAACAGGATGGACAGACAGACTAGCTAAATCAATCAATCTATTTTACCTGAGCATTTTAATAAAATACTTCAATTTCCCGTACTTTAAGGTGTTACAAAGAATCACCAGGCGATTAAAATCAGTTTACAGACATGCATAAATACGTACATATGTAAGTATGTACATATTTATATTAAACAATCGCTCGTACTGGATAAAAATGTGTAGGCAGTAAAAAAGCATGCCCAGGTATACTCGTGTAAACAGACCTACATATTTTTATATTATAATATACATTTGTACATACACACAACTGCGCGAATTTGTTATTTGTGTATAATTAGTACTGCACATTATCTGTAACACTCACTTGGGAGAAACTAATGTGACGTATGTACATATGTGTGTATACGTTTATAAACAATTTTATTGCAAATTAACAGCAACGTTTGCAAGTTCATTCATGCTCACTATTGCTGCGACTGAAATAATAATGAATGAAAATTAATTCGATATTGTTTGCTAGGAATTTTCAGTAATGAAATGCAAAAGTCACGTTTGTAATTACCTTCGTCATGTTGTCAATGTTGCAGAACTCACTTGTTATAACTGTTATGTATAATATAAATTATAAATAAATAAAAATAATTATTTATTGTATCAAGGACATATTGGAAATAGACGGTAGGGCGTATGAGTGATTTTTGCCCATTAAGTTTGGCGCCGAATGAAGCATTGCCTTGTAATTTGTTAGTTTGGAAATTTTTTAAAAATGGGCGTGGAACTGCCCTCCAATAAGTTTAATGTGCATATTTTCCAAACTATTGCAGCTATATCACCCAAATTCGCTTAGGAAAAATACTTTAGAACCCCCACGGCCAGTGTGAAAATGGATGAGATCGGATTATAACCCCGTCCTCTCCCCAGCACCTGAAGGAATTTTAGAAAGAAAGGAATTTAAGAAAAACTGTATAGTGTTAAACATATAAACACAATTATTTGTTGCAAAACATTTTATATGAAGTTAAGCATTGAGCGACGTCACCAACCCTACCGCCCCAGCAATTAAATATTTAATTCAATGGTAATGGTGCTTATATCTGCTGATTCATAATACTTGTAAAATAAACTGGTTTTAAGCAAGCTGCCGCATGTTGGGGAAACTCAGCGTTAGATATTAAATAATTATTCTTTAGAAAAGCGCGTGTTTTAGCCATACGATTTCTAAGAATATACTTTATATAAAATCGCGAAAAATATGCATAGATATCTGTGGAAAGTAAGCAGTACCGAAAAGTGTCTAAATATGTACACTTTAATAGTTGCAGTTGCAAGAATTTTATTCATGCTTTTATTAGAAGAATTTCCACATCGGCTCTAATTATGATCAATATTTTAGATAACTGTGTTACCTACCATAATATGATCCTAAGTCGAAATACCGAAAATATCGAGAGCTTGCAATACCTGACTATTAGCAAGAGCTTTTCTGACGATATATGCATATGCACCACTTTTATTGGTATTTTCGAATTTCTTTCCAAGAGAAAATGATGTGTTATCAGCATTTCGTAATATTAAAAACTCATTAAAACACAGAAAAATATTTATCACACTTATTCGATAATTCCGTTGAACAATTCGTACGTTGACCTGTGTTCGATTTCTTATCATGAATAAAGGAGGTTATTGAATAGGTCTGGTAAAGAACGACTCTTGGTCTTGTTTATAGTTGTAGACAAATTTGTAAGTAAGTAGAAAGTATGGTTTTCTCTCGATGAACAAAATTAACACATAATTATTAGTCCTTCAAAAAGTCTTTTCGGCTTTTGTGGTGCTGACTAAACAGCTCTGTAAAAGAAACCGAATATAGAAGGTGCCAGGTTTCCAACTATTAGTGTAGGCCTTCACCATGTTGGGAAGATCTCGTAGATTAGAGCAGGTTGGCTTTACTTGATGCTTCGAATTGTTGCTAACTTGCGAAGGATTGCCGAGGTATGTTATGGTGGTTAAATGATTGAAGTGCCGGTTCACACAGAGACTTTTTTGTCGCTCAAATTGCTTTATTTTTGTGGGTGAGCGTACGACGAGAAATGAGGAAGGGTCCTTATTGGTAGCGCTCGGGCAACACACTTTGTGCTCCTTTTCGTAACAGTTCGCTGCTATCTAAAACGGCATTCCATTTTATTCTGAAATTCTTTCCATGGTATCAAATGCGCTCGGTCTCAAATGAATATTTACTATACGGACTCATGTAGCTCTTGTGAACGTAGGGAGCGACACCAAAGGAAAAATTGCCGATAATGAGCGACAAAAGAGTTCGTGTGCATACCCATT